GACGGCGTGCCGGAAGAAGTAGTTGCTATGTTACCATATGATCAAGATCTGAATTGCATTATGCGGCAGAAAGCTGCAACGCCTGTTCGCAAAGAGATGTGTGCGGATGACTTGGCAGAAGAAATGAAAAGCATGGCAAAACCAAACGCTGTGGTGGGAGAACGAACCAGCGTTGGGATGGCGGATGTCAATGCACAACATGTTTCGGCTTTGCAAGCTACAGCTGCTCGAAGCCAAGGGCCGGAGAAGGACGAAGCGATGGAATTTACCTTGCGAACGGGCAACCGGCTGTTAGACCAGTTTCGGCCGCAATATTTTGGGTTTGCATTTCCGTATGTGTTCAAATTTTGCACGGGCATGCCAGATCCTCCGGCTTGGAGTGCCGTGGATCGATATCGCCGTGATTCGGCCGCACCACGGGTTGAGCTTCAAGAATGGGTTAAAATCATGGCTCGTCGATGTGAAGCACAGGTATGTAGGGATTGGGTGTTTGGCTTCGCTGCTTGGAATTTGTATTTTCGGTCGGCTTTGAATTTGAGTCGCAACCTAACGTTATTCAGCGTACCAGTATTGGATGAGGATGCAGGCACGTGGACAAAGTTGCAGCCAAAGGATATTGAAGCAGGCGCTTTGCAGCTCCTGAAGGCTTTGCAAGGCAATTACATTACTCAGGGAGGCAAGCCAAAAGCAGTGAATGGGGACATAAGCAAATTGCCATATGTTCGGGGCGTGACTCCGGCTGCGCGCAAGTTAGTGCAGAACATGCGGCACACTGCGCAAAGCATGCCCGGCACGCAAGAGGCACGAAAGCAAACGCGCTTCGAAATCGAAGCTTTGCGCGTGAAGTTTGGCACACCTATTTTTGTAACTTTTTCACCGGATGAAGGGCACCAAATGCTGTACGTCCGATTGTCACGGACCCGGTGCGGGGACCCAGTAAGGGCAGCGTCGGCGTACCAGAATTGGGATGTCAGCGACAGAGATTACCCTCCTTTGGATGAGAATTATACTTTGCCAATTCATGTGGAAACTTTCTGCAGGGCTTTGCCAACATGGGAGCAACGGCGCCAAGCCATGGCTCGGGACCCGTTAGCCAGCGTCGATGGCTTTCGGGTCCTTGTGCTCCTGGTCATGGAGCATTTGTTTGGCTTGCGTGTGTGCATGCAATGCCCAGATTGCAACTTAGCAAGTTCGCACTATACACCGTGCCAAGATCAGAAAGGAAGCAACGCAACTTTGGTGGGAGGAGTCTTTGGTCGCATGGACGCGGCGTATGTCACCATCGAAGCACAGAAATCGACAGGCTCATTGCACGCGCACTGCCAGTGCTTTGTGCAATGCTTGCATCAGCACATAGCGTTAGAGGAAATTTTTCAGCTTGGCGCGAAAGAAGTGGAAGAGCTCCGAAATAGTTACTTAACGTACAGTGGGCATGTCATGCATGGTGTTTATGAAGGCCACAGCAAGGAAGAGGTTTCTAGAAAAATTGTCGAAGCAGAAGCCTCGTGGCCCGAGCACAAGAACGAGCAAAGCATGCTGGAGTCGCCCGCATATCAGCGCCGGAGGGCTGTCCATGCCGCGCGTGAAGACGCCGACGAAGCAAAGTTATGGGCTATCGAGTATTTGAACGAAGACATGGCGCGTTTACAATTCTTGAAACAGCATCATTATCATCCAGTCAATGCGGAAAGTGGAGAAAGAGTGCCGTTGCATGGCTGCCAAAAAGGAGACAAAGAAGGGATGTGCAAGAGCGATTTCCCTCGCAATGCGTGGCAAACCGACCGGGGCATGGTGCTATGTCCATGCCAAGCAGAGGCACACGGCATGGCAAGGCAAGGACGCAAGAATCGGATCGGGGCATTGCATGGCCCGTATGGGAATGAATGGCTAAATTGCTGTCATCCTGCATTGTTGGCAGCCGTGTGTGGTGTCAATGTTGATGTCCAGCTGCCGTATCGCTTGCCTTTCGACTGCTCAGACTGTGGCAGCTCTTTGACAAAGCATCAGCGGCGTGAAATTGTCCGTGCCGTGCAGCGCGCGCAAGATGCACAGACAGGGTATTGTGCAGATTATTGTGCCAAAAACCAGCCTATGGCATTTCATGAAATCAAGGAATTTCAGAAAGGGCACCAGCAGTTGCAGAGCAATTACCAACACGAGCCACTGGAAAAGCTTGGCAAAAGGCATGTGACCCGTTTTCTGAGTGATGCGTATTGCAAAGGCATTGTTCGGGGACAGGTGGAGTGTTGTAATTTGCGCGCTTACAATAATCCTGCGTCAGTAGTTGCAGCGGAACGAATCAGTACAGCGGCATTTTGTAGTTTTGCAGGCCGAGCATTCTTGCAGGCAGTCAATATCGCGTCGGACGAGACAGAAGAATGGAGAGCACGGAAAAAACAAGTGTGGACACGGAAAGGGTCTACCGGACAGAAGCAATTGCGCGAGCTTGATCTGGCACAGGCGTATGGACATAGACCCCAGCATGCGGACTTCTGGTGTTTGTCCCCGTATGAATTTTCCATGTATTGGGATTGCTTTCCCGTGACCCTTCCGCTTACACGGTCCGAGTTCAAGCAAGGGCCGACAAAGGATTGGGATGTGACGGTGACAGCAAAAGGCGAAGCCAAGTTCGCTGCGGCAAAAGGAGACGATGCAAGTGTGCGCTTGTCGCCAGGGGTTGACTTTCGCCGGCGGGAGAAGGATGGCAGAGTTTGCTTCGACAGCAGCGCTGGTCGGGAGTTGCAGCACGGATGGTATTTGCGTCGGCGCTTGAGGCCCCTTTGCCCGCATCTGGCACATTCACCGGTGCCAAGTAAATGGGGCGAAGACCCCGAAAGAAACGCAAAGTTGACATTAGCATATTTCAGAGCATGGACTTTCAACAAGGCACGTGGAAGCGCTGAAGCTCCACACTTGCAGCGATTGAGGCAGAACGATGCAACGTGGGAGCAAACTTTACGGGAGTGGCTACTGCATTTGCCATGCGAAGAAACGAAACGATACGTCGGTAACTTCTTGGCAGTGTATCGTGTGCGTCCGGAACACGAAGGGGAAAACAGCGACGACGAAGATGATACAAATGACTTGGTAGTAGGTGCAGGCGATTTGGAACAAGCCTGTGACACTCATGTACCTGTAACTGACGGAGATACAAAAACAAATAAATGGTCATCGCATCGCAAACTCATTGTAGATGCCATTGCACGCGCGACGACACACTGGAGAACGATGCCCTATGAACCCTGTGTGTTGCCGAATCCATGCCAAGGCTTGGACAGCACCAGCCTCTTGCGAGGCCTGCGCCGTAAAGCAGACCCCCAGCACTGGGACGGACATAGTTGGGCTCGGGAGCCGGAGGTGCAGCAAGCAAGGATCAATATAACAGCGTTGCAAAATCAAATCAAAGAATGGTCCCAAGGAGTTGCGCAAGACAAATGCAATGCCAAACAAGCGGAAGTGTGCAGAAGAGTCGCAGGCCAAGTCTTGTACGAAGTGTCTTCGGAAAGCCTTGCAGTAGAGCCTTTGCGCTGGGCTGTGCATGGCGGACCTGGCACAGGGAAATCGTATGTACTGAACCGTATCCGGAAAGAATTGTTCGAAGAGATTTTAAGCTGGAAACAAGGTGACGAATTCCAAATTGTGACACTGCAGGCTGTCATGGCCCATGACTTGGACGGCGACACTATCCACCACGCATTTGGTTTGAATTGGCAAGGCGTTGGCGATGAGCGCATTAGCGGTCACAGGCTGCTGGACCTGAGCGCCAAAGCGTTGCGCTGGCGGTGGCTCATTATTGATGAGATCAGCATGGTCAGCGCCGAGCTCTTGGCGCGGTTAGAATTGCGTTGCCGAGAGTTGGTCCGGGATCTCGCTCAGAGCAAGTACGCGCAGGAGGCGGCGTGTGCGCGGCCTTTTGGCGGGTTGAACGTTCTCGTAGCAGGTGATATGTGGCAGCTGCCACCGCCACGCGGAACGTTTTTGGGGGATGTCCCATGGGAATGGTTGACGCAAGGCAAAACGAAGAAAGTAGCTCATACCATCCGTGGGCAAGAATTGATCTGGGGTGAGTCCCCGGAGGGAATCCATGGCGTGACAGAACTGGTGGAGTGCGAGCGCACGAAAGATGTTTGGTTGCAAAGTCTACAAAACGAAGTCCGAAACGGGACATTATCCGACACAAACCACGCATTCCTGCATGGCTTTGCCACGCCCGTACCTGGAAGCTGGAACGGGCAAACACTGGAGTGCAACCACAACGCGTGCCATGAGTTGCTGAAAGGGAAGGCTTCGCCGGACGCAATCTTGCGTTTCGAATGCAATGTGTGCAAAAACGAACGCCGTTCTAAAGCCAGGGTTGCAGCGGGTACTGAAGGTGCTGCCAAGTTTGCCGGTGCAAAAGCCATTTTCGCCACGAATGCTGTGAAGTATCACGTAAATAAACTCCGAGCTAAAGCTTGGGCTGCAGAAAAAGGACAGGTCCTGCACCACGCCATTGCAAAAGATAGAATCTCAAGTGTCGCTTTGCGCGAGAAGCCAGATTTGGGCAAAGAAAAATTGACATGGCTGCAGCGGCACGATCAGGACTGTGGGTCCTTGTATGGTGTTTTGCCGCTCTGCATTGGCATGCCAGTGGCTGCCACAGATTGTGGAGAGATTGTGGGGTGGGTTTGGCCCGCCGGTGCAGTCGACGCGGCGAAGCAAGAGGGAATGCAGATTTGGAATGAGTTGCCGGCGTGCGTGTTGGTCCGGTTCCAAACGAAGACAACATGGCACGTCGATGGGCTTAATGAGGACAACGTCTTTCCCGTGGCGCCACAGAAGAAATCGTGGTACTTGGACAAGGGGCGGCGGCGGCCAGTGCTGCGTGTGACGCGAAAGCAGTTTCCATTGGCTCCAAATTTTGCAACAACTGCCCACGCAGCGCAAGGGCAAACTCGTAAAGAAGGGGTTGTGATGGACATGCACATCGGCGAAGCAGGCGACCCATTGACAGCGTATAT